GAGTCCTTTGAGCAAAGTCCTATGCTTAACACAGAATTAGTAACATGAAAACACCATTTTCTTTCTTAAGTAACTATATACAGAGAGTTACATACAACTCGGATGAAAATGCATAGTACATCATTACTCATCTGTATCACACATGTATGTTATATATTGCATTATTCATTACATCATGACTGCTATGCTAATATTTTTTTTCCAAATGTGCTCTGCCAAACTAGGTCTTCCCCACGCTACATGTGCAGAAGCGATCTCTGAACCAAAGTGCAATTTATACTACAATTTTGTTAGATTCAGCTCATCACTTTGGCCATTAAAGATCCTATTAGATCCTAATTCTGTCTCACATAGCTGCTGTATGTTCCAGTATCTCATTCTTTGCGATTTGAATGGTTTGTCTGTAGAGTCTTACTTCGGTCATGGATAAGATGTTGAACAGGCACACGATAAGGCTGAAATTGCACCAGGAAGCATCACCCAGGTTGAGGATGCTCAACTAATTACCCAGCTGTTAAATACCAAGTGTTCTCTTTATTGAAACTATGTCTAAATCCTGTCCACAGAGATCAGGTAAGTTACTTCCAAGCACCATAACAAAATACTGACATAACGACTTACAAGAGTCACAGATCTTGAGGTTTGTATTCACTCTTTAAACAAATTTTTATTGCATGTGTATTTTGTACCAGGCACCGTGTTGACCTCTGGTGACTAAGTCAATGAGACACTGCCCTCAAGAAGCTTACAATCTAGTGGGGAAAGCAGACAATCACAGTTGATTATGTGACCATATAGCTTTGTAAACAGGATAGGCAATTAGAGGACCAGGGAGGCACAGAGCGTGATTATCTAAACCAGACTGTCAGGATTAGGAAAGGTTTCCCAAAGGAGACAGCAAGGTTGGAATTTAAGTTGAGTCTGCGGTCACGATGGAACAGTCAGATTAAAATGTGGGATGTATGAGTGTGGTGTTCTTCAGAGAGATCTGGGCCAGACGTACAGATTCAGGAGTTGACAGTGAATAAGTGGCACGTACAGCTCTGGATCTGAGCAAGGCCACTGAGGCAGGAGTTAACCAATCAAAGAAGGAAACGTCTGGCATCTTGGTAAAGGGAAGGACACGGCAGAGCTGTGAGAGAGCAAGTATGGATGAGACTTGAGTGAGGGCGTGGGCTGGGATGCAAAGACACCTCTGGAGGCATCAGAGGCCAGTTCAGCAAGAGTTTTGTGTGCGGATGCCAAGAAATCAGAATTTTATCCAGAAGGCTATGGAGTCCCCCAGAGGGCTCTAAGCATTGGAACGACTTTTGCAGACCGAAGAAAGCACACTGCGGGGTGAGTGTGGCGTAGGAATTGGTGGAGGAAGACAAGGAGCTCGGCGACTCATAAGAAGCTCACCAGAAAGGTGGGGGGAGCGGGGAAAGCAGTGTCCACGTGGGAGGGAAGTGAGGGCCACACTCCAAAGATGGCGAAGGCTGAATGAAGACATCTCGGGGACAACTGGATTTGAGAAGCTAAGGTTGGAAGGGAAGGTCCAAGGGAATCCCTAAGATCTGAGTTTGGATGGCCAAGCAGGTAATGGTATCACGTTTGCTGCAAACGGAAACACTGTATTTGGAGAGGCGGGGAGGACTTTGGAACTCAGGTCTTATCATTTTAAATTAAGATCAAGACGGGATAACCAGCTAGAAACGTGGGGTACATGGGTAAGGAGTTCTACAGAGAAGACCGGGCTGGTTGGAGAAACTCAGGCATTAACGCTGAAGAGACAAGAGTTACAGCCAGAGATGTGGGCAAAACCACTGAGGCAGAGTGTATAGGAAATCAGAGGAGAGACCAATAGACTAAGGCCAATGTCAAATTCAAGCTGTGAAATACAAAGCTAAAAACTTAAAACACTTTCTGATCTAAAGTTTATCTTGCATTTAGCCATATATACTAAATTTCTAAAATTTTAGAGATCCAATTCATCAAGTGGTCTGTCAACCTGGTGCTTCAGCTACATACCAAAAAACACTGCCTGATAGCATCAATTTATGATTTTCCAGCTTCTCAAAACAATGTAGGTCAAAAAAAAAAAAAACAGTAAAGAGCCAGGAAAATTTGATAATTTGATTCAAGCTTAACATCAACCTAGAATATGAGGGTCCTAAGTCTTTTCTTGTTTTCTCCATTTAAAAGCACTTTTCCTCTTACTTACAGTCTTTGGGGGGAAATGTTAGAAAATGGAAAATTTTGGCTCATGTTTGCTACACTTACACCGTGCTTAACTGCATGTACCCATCCAACCCTGTTGCTTCGTCAACTCCACTAAAAAAAAAAAGTCTAAATAAATCAAAATATCACTGGGCAAGAATTTCACCATGTTGAGGAGTGTAAGCTAGTCTGTACCTAACTTCCGGGTTTTGTAACCTCACATATTCCTCTTAAGATATTTTATACTTAATCAGCTTATGCAAGATGGGCAAACTGCATCATCCTCTAAGACAGAAATAATTTGTATATTCTTTCACAGCACATTATTATAACTGAGAGTCCAATCGCAATGTTCAAAAAATTTAATATAATGGATCCAACAATAGCCAGGGAAAACCCTAGTCTTCAGAAGTTCCATGATAACAAAATCAAAATTCTTAATAAATGCTCAAAAAATATATAGAAAAATCTGACTCTCCAAAGTTCATCTACTTTTTAATAAGTGGATTTTTGGCAGCATCACCATGACAACTGTTAATAAAGCTTTATGTAGCCTCATAGTTACAAACAGTATTATAATGAAAATTTTAAAACTGCAGTAGAAAATTTCAGAGACAAAACTTCAACCAATTACTCAACATATCTAAAACACTGTGATGTGGGCTCAGAGGTACGGGCCACGCCTCTCACTTGAAGGTTTCCACACACGCCAAGAGAACCTTTTTTGTTTCCCTCTTTATCTACCAAATTTAACTTTAAAAATCTGCCTTCACTATAGACACCGTAAGTATATACAGTTTTTACATCAGGCAATTTAGTAGGGTTGTTCTGGGAAGGGACAGGACGTGTTCCAGAAGATTCCTGTAAGACATGTGGTCCTTATAAGATCTACTGTTGACAAATTCTGAACTCGGATTCACGCCGTCTGATGGGGACTGAGGGAAGGAGACAGGTGCCCTGTCAGTTTCCGTATCTAGAGAAGCCTGACTGATCAGAGATGATCTGACTCCAGACGCAGAACCACCATGACGCCAAGACAAATACAACAGTCAGTCGGTGCCACTATGCCAACATGTAGCAAACAAAAGGTTAATATAAGGGGGGAGGGGTGTACCTCAGTGGTAGAGTGCGTGCTTAGCATGCAAGAGGTCCTGGGTTCAATCCCCAGTGCCTCCATTAAAAATTTTTAATTTAATTTAATTTAAAGAATAAAATAAAATAAAATATTGGGGAGTGAGGTTATAGCTCAGTGGTAGAGTGCATGCTTAGGATGCACAAGGTCCTGGGTTCAATCCCCAGGACCTACATTAAAACATAAATATATAAATAAACAAACAAACCAACAAAGAAACCTAACTACCTCTCCCCCACAAAAAAATTTAAAAAATAAAATGACACCAACATAAAACTAAAAAGGTTACTGTAAAGAATATCCAAAACATGAAAATGTGTCCTCACACTTGGGAAGAGTAAAGCCTGACAATGACAGGCTCCCTAAAATGCTGATCTCCTGGTTGTGGCACCAACACTTCATCGCAGAGTCGTGAGAGCTGCAGGTGTGGTTATTCCTGAACCTTCTCCATCACACTCCACCGGGCAAGACGCGCCATCCTCTCCACCCCTAGAAGTCTGGCCCTGACCCCAGCCTGTGCAGCACTAGAATAAGCAGGGAGATTAAAGCTGAAAATTAGGAGTTATTTCTTAATAGTGAGCTTGATTTAACACTGGACTTTCTATGGGACACGATACTGTCCCCAGACCTGCGGTCTCATATATTCATACCAATATCGACTTGGACACACCACCTCTGATGCCCTTCCTTTACAAAATACACTTCACAGAATGTGCCTCTGTAATTCCTACAGAACATCTCTGCAACTCTTATCATCTACATGTAGACAGTGATGATGCTGGAATAACATTCCCCGAGATCAGTGTGGTACTTAAGAAACCTTAATGTAAACAGAACTGTAACAACAAATTAATTTTTATTCCAGATCACTGCATATGTTGTAACATTATTACCTAAAATCATGTATTTTGTGAAGGTTATATATTTATACACTGCAGTTGTTCCCACTATTGGATATTCTCTACTGTTATTCACCAGTAATGTTAAACTTTAATTTAAAAAATAAAAACCAGCGTCCAAAGTATAAAACTTTGGTGTTGCTTCTCTGGGTTGGGGAGGAAGGGGAAATTGAGTGATCTGGATTTAGATTTTAATTTTACAAGTAACCTCAAATTTAATGACATATTTTTTGAGAAATATCCTAATTTTCTAATATAAATCTTTTATCAAGAAAAAAATACTGAAATAGAAAATTGATCTACCATGTGAACTTTCATCTGCCATTGACTAACATGAATTAAACAGAACTTAAAATTATAGTTTAGCTATTTTTAAATAAATTTTTAATGATTTAATGATTTTTTAAACGAATATGCATTTTTAGGAATATTTTTTTAGTCAACTTTTTGAACTGCTATTTGCTCAAAATACAGAATCTCAGTATCCAACTAAAGCTGCACATTCAGGGCAAGAAAGAGTAACTTTTTTCCACATTATAAAAGATGTATACAAATTACCTAAGCCCAAGGCATGAACAAAGCTTGATAAAACTGGGAATTAGCTTTCTCCTTCCCAAACTCTTCACTCCGTCACGTTCTACCTATGAAACAAATGGGTACATGGTCTGATGGGAAGCGTTCTGCTGATACGTGTCTCAATAAACCATCTTATTTTGAGCAAAATGCAGTAACGTTTCCCCGGATAAGAAGGTAAGACAGGAAGAACCTACGATGGGCAGAGGTACTGCTTCTTTTTCCCCTTCCCTTTCTTTGAGGACTTCTCCTTAGAACAGGCTTCTTCAATCCACGAGGAAATCAAAAGGAAAAAGACAACTGCCAGTAAAAACTTCATCTTGAAAAGTTAACTTTCGGGAGCGCAATCTACAAGAAAGAACAAGAAAACGTTTACCTTTCAGAAGCAAATGATTAACTCTACGACTCCTTAAGGAGTTTGACCATTACCACCCAGCAGACAAGTGCGTCTGTACATCAAATTCTCTTTGCTCACAGTAAACACATGCCTCCCAAACCCACATAAACATGAGGACTTTGTAATATTTTAAGCTTATTAAATACGTTATACTGAGTATGATTTTTCTATTCTTTCTCCTCCTCTGGAGGAAAAACAACAAACTATAAGTCCTACCTCTGAAGTCCATTTTTAGACTTTTAAATACCATATGTACATTCATGTATAATCATGTATAGTGTTTGTGAATTTTTTTACTTGCATAAATGCTATTTGGCCTTTAAAAAAATTCTCATTGCTCAAATCTGTGTGGTTCTACTTCACTATATAATATGTGATACTTTCGTAGTAAAAGTTAGTTTAAATAATGGTTTATAGAAAATAAGACCCCAATGAGGAATAAGAGGTAAGTATGCAAAATTTCTATTATAGAGTTTATATATATATATATATCATATAAAATTTTATATACCACATATTATTATTACAATATATACAATATAATATTATATATTATATACTATACAAAATTGTAAATTGATACTGAATTGCACAATATATCAGTATATGCTCAGAAAGATACCAGGAAGGGTGTTTAACACGGTATTGAGACAGTTACCTTGTGCTAGTACACTTCAATTTTTTTGTTTTCTTTTTTAAATCTCTCTGTTCTTTGAATCTGCATGTATGTTTTCCCCAAAGCAATAAAACTATTCTAAAGGGAAGGACAATTCTAAGTATTAAAGGATTGACAGAGATAGAAGGCGAATGTAGTATCAGAGGGTTTCACTCCCTAAATTGTTTCTATTTATACACACTAAATTTGCAAGTTACCTTTTACCTCTAAAAGGTGTATATTGACTGAAGTTAGCTTTCCTCCTCACATGATACTAACATTTATCATCAAAAAGACAATTTCTGACTCCAGAAATTCTAGGCAACACTATATGAAATAGTCAGACTCTTCCAGATAATCCCCTTAGCCATATTTTAATAGCATTTTCCTAGCTCAAATGAGAACTATATTCTTGCCCGTCTGATGCACACACAAAAAAAAAGAAAGAAAGAAAGAAAGAAAAAGAAAAGAAAGAAAGAAAAAAAGCCGTTTAAGCATCTCCTATACACTGGAATATTTAAACCTCTTCCGCATCCTTCACTTCCAAACCATAAATTCTTACTCCTTCATTGTTTTCTGCAGGGTAAGAGCCCTGTCTACCCCTCGACATTAACTTCATTCCCAGCTCCCCCTTATAATTTTGCTTCTCCTATGTCACGATTTTCACCTCCCTCCTCTCAGGAATTCTTATTATCTCACATTTATCCTTTACAGCCTCTAGCAAACCAGGACTTCCTCCCTGGTCCTGTCTCCTGAAGACGACAGAGGGGACTCCAGGCCCACAGCATCTCTCGGTCAACTCAGCACCGGGCTCCCTGCCCCCCTCCCACGGCGGCATCTGGTCCAGACACCTTGGCCCGCGGCCGCAGGTACCGTGCCCACCTTCACACTCGGCCCCAGGACACCACTGGAGGCCGTCCTGGCGGTCTGCAGGGTGGAGAGAGAAATTCCGTGTCACCTCCCACCTTCCGGAGGGGGCAGCTGCAGTGGCTGAGGGTGCCCCGCAGGCAAAACGACGCCAGCTACGTCCGCGAGCCTCTCCGCATGCCTCCAGCCGAGCGGACCCGCACCTCCTCCAGGGATGCGCGGACACCCCGCGGCATCCTCCTCCCCCTCCTCCTCCCCGCGCCCCGCCGCCGCAGTGCCCCCGCGCGCCGCGCGCCCCTCACCAGAGCCGACCTACCTGAGGAGCCCGCCCCGCAGCCCCGGGAGGACTGGCGCTCCGGCCCCGACGCGCCGCTGCGGGGGGAGCGGCTGCGCCCGGATCCCCGTCCGCGTCCCCGTCCGCGTCCCCGTCCGCGTGCCCGTCCCCGCGATGGACTGACGCGCCTGCTCGCGCCGCCGAGCCTGCGCCGTGCGGTCCGCTCCGCGGCGGGGTGGGCGCGCTGCGGGGCGCGGGCCGGGATGCTGACGGCGCGGGGGGGCCCCGGCGCGCCGGAGGACGTCCCACCGCCCGCCGTCTCTGGCCCCCGCCCCGGTCCCCCGCCCCGGAGGGGATTCTGAGCGTAAGGATGCGGTCCCCACCGGAGGCTCGCTCTAGACGGTGGGGCGGGGGTGGAGGGTGGGTGCGCAGGGCTGGCCCAGAAGAAAAAGACCATTCAAAGAGCTGCAGTCCTTTATTGTCCGTTTTTGACCACTAGCAACAAAAAGTGATGGAACAACAAATGCCCCTGTTGGACCAAAGCAGACGACAGCCAGTTTCTGGGATTTCATCGTTGGCCTGGTTCGCTGGCATCTGACTTCATCCTGGAGTCTTACATCCAATTTCTCAAAGCCTGACCTTTCTAAGCGCCCTTAAGTTGATCAAAGTCACGAAAGCCATGTAATCACGGAGGTAATGCTGTTTGAATATTTTGCATAATTAACACGTGTACAGAACTTTAGTTTCAGAGCGCGGTCGCTGCATTACCGCACTTGGCCCTCGCTCCATTCATTCCTGGGCAAGTTTCTTGGCTTCGTCCCCATTTTAAAGACGAAGAAGGCGAAGCTCCGGTATGTTAAAGGATTAATTTAGGGTTACTTAAGTACCTCGAATAGAATTTACCTGAGACTCAGAGTCTTATTTTAACACTTCTGAGTCAGGTACAATCTCTGCCTTCTGTTTACCAAGGACCCCTTCCCTTGGCTCCTGGGTAACACACAAAGCTTTCCAGTTACCTCTGTACTGAGCGCCTACTTGACTTCTTTTCATTAAGAAAGCGTTCTCAGATGAGCAGTATTACTTAGCAAAGTTTTGCGGACCTACACACGTATTTCTTCACTAGTAAACTGTCAACCCACATCATGCCAGGGAGTGAGCTTTTCCTCTAAGTAACCGTGTTCTGTAGGTTTCACAAGATACTCAGCTCTGAAAACCAAGTAGAATATAGTCTTTCATAAAATACATTTACATTTATAAGGGAAAAAAATCTCCACTTGTCTGGATGTCTCCCTCTCTGCGCCAGGAAGAGGAGGCTGACTAAATCTCCAAAAACTCTTACCCCAGGGGGAGGCACAGGATTCAATGTGCATGACAATCACGCCCTTCTTGACCGTTTTTTCCTGGTAGTGTCCCTGGACCAACTGGAGTTCCTCCGCCACCAACATCTTCTTTTGTCTTTAGTTGGAGATGGTCTTTGAGGTGGTGTCTTGGGCCATTTTGGGGACTTACTCAGGTTTCTCGGGTGTCTCCCATGCACACAGGTGGTACACATGTTATTAAACTTCTAGGTGTTTTTCCTCCTGTTAATCTGCCTCTTTTTTTTTTTTTTACTAGGAGTCCCAGCCAAGAACCAAGAAGGGTGGGGAGAAAATCATTTTTCCTCCCCTACAGGACAAAAAATAAGTTTCATGAAACCAAGGGAATTTAGAAGCGGAGGAAAACCTGAAACTTAGTTTTCTTGTAATCAAGGAATTACTAAGAATGTGGAGTAATAGTAGATAGAGATTCACGTGATGAACAAGACCTTTCTCCAGAACTCCAGACTCATATATCCAGTTGCCTTCTCGACATCTCACCTTGCAGACTGAACACATTTCATTCTCACCTGTCCAAAATGGAGCCAGTGTTCTTCCCTGCCAAATCTCTTCCCACTCCACCTTCTCTCAGCTGATGGCAACCTGTCCCTCCAGAAGGCTCCGGCCAAAAATCTCAAAGACGTTCCTAATTGCTTCCTTTTTCTCATTCCCCACATCCAGTCTGTCAGGAAACACTGCGTCCTCTCTAACTACTATGTTTACTGTAGGAAAGCCGGACTGAGCCACCATCACCTCTGAGTTGGGTTGTTTCAATAGCTTCCCGCCTGCCCCACTCCCCTGGTATCAACAAGGCGGCCAGGTGCCTGTAAGACATGTCTGTGTCAGATGACGTCCCTGCTCAGCCCAGGCCCAGCAATACTCCTCACGTCACTCAGATGCTAAACCAAGGTTCTCCCAGGGCAACACAGGGTCCCGAGTGCCAGGCGCCCTCCCAGTGCTCTGCCGTCCTCTGACTCTCTCCCCTTGGTCTCTCTGCCCCAGTGACACTGGTCCAGCTGCACCTCCAACAGGTGGGAGGGTGGGGCCCCCCCAGCCTACTGTCTCTGCTGGTCCCTCTGCCTACTGTGCCCCTCCCCCAGACAGCCGCACATCCAGCTCCCGAACTTCTTCAAGTTTTCCCCCAGATGTCACCCTCTCAAGCGATGTATCAGATATTATTTAAAGGTACCACCTGCTCCTCACCCATTCAAGGACTTCCGATCTCCTTTTACTTGGCTTTTTGTTTCTTTTTCATAGTCCTTACTACCTTCTAATATAGTATACAACCCAGAAATAATTACATTTAAACAGAATATATATAGCCTAGAAATAGATTATATATAAATTTACTATCTATTAAATAGAAATAAAAAATAGAAAAAAGAGAAATAGATTATATATAAATAGAAAATATATAACCTAGAAATAGATTATATATAAATAAATAGATTATATATGAATAGACACAGCCTCGCTTTCCTTTCTAAAATGCGAGCTCAGGGAAGGTAGAGATTTTTGTCTGTTTTTATCCATCGCCGTTGCCCAGAGCACCTACATTTGTGTTGAATGAGGAAGTAAATCTTGGCCTAGTCACTGAACTTCTTAACATTTCATGTTTTCTTCTTAGTGAAGTGAAAATGGCAAGGCGTGGCTTGCAGAATTATTCTAAGGACTGAACGGTGAATTTATGTTAAGTGTCTGATCCTGAGAAGAAGGTCCATGAGTAATTACCTCCCCTCTTGGTTTTTCTATTCACTTGATGAAACAATCACTGTTGAAGTGATGCAACCCTGTGGTATATTTCTTTCTGTTATTTTCTTCCTTTATTTGTGTCTTCCTGGAAACATTTTGTGAGGCCACCTCAACACAATCAATTGGAACCCGGTTTCCTGCACACCCAGCTTCACGTGTCCTATATTAATTTTCTCTTACTGGCTCATAGAACTTAAATGCTGACCTGAATGTCTTATGTTCAATTAAGAAACCAAATGTTAGAAAAAGAGAGAATTCTCACCAAATCATTTGTGCATGTGACATAAGCATCACTGTTGTCACTACCCAAACAGCCTTCAAACATGAGTCTTGAATTTATACATTATCTCTCTTCTATTTCCTCTCTATATGAGTCATATTTACTCTTTAATCATAACCTGAATTGTAATTGTCATTTATGAGATTTTTCTCAAAACTTCAGTTAGGATGCCATCAGATGTTTTCAGGAAGAAGTATGTCCAGCTGTTTAATTTTTTTCCAGTGTTATTGAGATATAATTGGCATAACATCATACGAGTTTCGGATGTACAGCATAACAATTTGATATGTGTAAATATTGTGAAATGATCACCTCATGTAGTTACAAATTCTTTTCCTTGCAATGAGAACTTTTAAGATTCACTCTCAGACACTTCTCAAATGTACAATACAGTATTATTATCATCACATTGTATGTTACAACTTCAGTACTTATTTATCTTATAATTGGAAGTTTGTATCTTTGATCACCATTAACCAATTCCACCACCATGTCCAGTTGTTTTTAGATGTGTTTTCCCTTGAGTCATCATCTTAAAAAATTTCTCAAAAATAGATAATAGAGGTATAAATGTAAATTAGAAGATTACAATAAAGGATGATTAGATGATGGGTAAGTTATTTTGCATCTGTTAAGTACTATTCATGAATTTTACAGGACAGCAAAACTTATATTGAGAAATGTTGATGAGTAATCAGTCTTATTGTATTAGAAAAATAAAAATATTATTTGATAACCAAAAATCACTTCCACATGTTTTTCTGACATAGCACATTATCCTTAAAATAGTCTCCAAACACCTAATTATTTTTACACTCACTTTTAAACAATCATTATTTTTAAACTCACTTTCAAACAATCTTCTTTAAATATTTGGTAGAATTCCCCTGTGAAGCCATATTTTTTGCTTGTAAAGAGTTTTTCTTTTTTTTTAATTACTGACTTAATTTCATTGCTAGTAATTGGTCTGTTCAGATTTCCTCTTTCTTCCTGATTTAGCCTTGAAAGATTGTATCTTTCTAGGAATTTATCTATTTCTTCCAGGTTTCCAATTTATTGGCATGTAACTCTCGTATTCTCTTATGATTATTCCTATGATGGTAGTTGTAACTTCTCTTTTATTTCTAATTTTATTTAATGGCCCCTTTTTTTTTTCTCTTGATGAATCTGGCTAAAGATTTGTTCATTTTGTTTATCATTTTAAAAAACCAGCTTTTAGTTTCACTGATCTTTTCTCTTCTTTTCTTTTTTTGGTCTCTATTCCATTTATTCCCACTCTAATTGCAAGATGTTGTTAATACTCTTATTATTTTTTTATGGGAAGTGTTAGAGTTAGTTCATCTTTAGTGTCCTATTAGAACATCAAGTTTCCCACATCAGTTGCACATAAGTGAGTTGAGCAGCTTCTTTTTCAGACACAGACTTGGCTTGTACAGAATTCCGACTGCAGGTTAGCACATCGAAGCCAAAGAGGCCGTTCTGGTGCTAGACCCAGAATCTTGCTTCCAACTTCAGCTTGGTCCTAAAGATTTACTAACGTGTGAATTGTTGTTCACTTAATTTTCCTTTCTGTTCCATGTAACAGCAGTAACAATAA